GATACAAGTGTACGCTGAATGTGCATGTATGGCAAATCTATGCAATCGTGGTAGGGTGAGATGTGACCACATGCAGGTGCATGCATGTGTATGTGTGTCTGGGCAGTGTGTGAGCACAGTTTTAAGGTGTGGTTTTGTGTGCGATGTGACCACATGCAAGGAGGCCTAGATAGCCTGGACAGTAAGGGTAGGGGGCAGCAGCAGTCCACAGTGCTGGTGTCAGATGCTGAGACCCCATGTTCTCTCACCGGTCCCTGACCTGAGTTCTGTGTAAAGCCCAGCTCTGGGCTCTCGGTGGAACGATTTAATAGGTGACTTGGAGCTGGCACAGCTGAAGCCTGGGATGGAGGGTGCTGTTGCAGCCAGGGTCCCTTTGACCCTGGAGGTGGCTGGGTAACACCTGGCCTATGCACTAGGGCCAGCAGCACCCAACCCTCTCTGTGGCAACAGACACCGGCCATTTGTGGGGGTGGGTGTGCATGGCAGCCTTGGGGCAAGAACAGCTCAGGTACATACAGAACTGGGCCTGGGTGTGTCATGGCTGGTCTCTTCCAGCTTGCCCATGCTGACTCCAGACCTCTGACCAGGACCCCACCTTACTCCTGCCCCATGGCGCTATTGAGCATAACCAGGCCTCAACAGCCACCTTCAGCTGGCAAGAGCTGCTCTGCCAGGCTCCCTTGCTGAACTGCTCCTCAAAGGACCTCAGCAAAGCCCACCTGCACAGACCGTCACACAGTGGGCAGGGGCAGGGGAGGAAAGCCTAGAGCCGCAGAGGTAGAGCTCCTAACACCAGTCTATGCTGTCCTGGGAACCCAGCTCCAAAACCCAGAGGGGACCAGCATACCAACGGGGCCTGTGTCTTCATGGACAGGCTCAGGAGTGGCCTACTAAGGCTATGTCTGTGTTGGCCCAGTCCCTGTTGTTTACAGTGGCTAGAGTATTGCCACACCCAGATTCCCAGTGGTCCCTGTGCGAGGAAAGAGCAGCATGCTCCCACGGCAGGCTCTGCGTGTGCCATGGGTGGCTAGGGTGAGGATGCACCTGCCAGGGCACCTGTTGGCCCTGCTGCAGCCGCATCTCTGCCCTCTACACTTGCAGGCCAGGCCCAGGGGCCCCAGATGGCTGCTGCTGTTCACCCTGGATTCCACCACCACAGTGTTTAGGACATGCAACTGGACAGCAGCAAGCTTCACTAAAAGGCCGAATGCTTTCTGGGGACACCTTACAGACACGCCCATAGCACACGTTCACATACACCGTGCTCACGCATGTGGTGCACTCACACACCACACTGTGCACTCGGTGCTTAGAGCACCCACATTTTTGCAGGGTGAGGAGAGCCCAGGCAAGGCCATTGGGGCATCTGGGATCGTGCAGCTGCCTCGTCGCTGTCAGCTAGTCCACCAGCCAGGAACCAGTCCAAGGGGACACTCCATGAGAACCCGGAGTTTGCTATGACAGAGCTGCAGCTATTTCATGTGGTTCCAACTCGCTGGTGTGATCCAGGATTTCAAAGATGCATTAGCAAAGGACGATCCTGCACGTCACTGCTTCCACCTGAGTCGGCTCTGATGTCAGGTCCTCTGCCAGAAAGCTAAAGGAGCGTGCGCACATGCACGCACGCACGCACACACACACACACACACACACAAACTTGAAAGGGGCAGCCACTGCCATTCCCCATGGCTTCTCTACTGGCCCTGAGCAACAGGGGTTCCAGGGCAACAGCCAGTGCTGTCCCTTCCTACCCCCAAGCGCTGCTGGGCTGCAGCTGCTATGGGATGTCTGGGTTACTCCAGGGCAGATGCTCCAACTATCCTAGCCCTGAGGGGCCTTTGGTCCTGGATAGGGTACACAGGAGCCTCTCTGCTGCTACCAGCAAGCCTCGGGTGGCCTGTGTGCCCTGACACTCCCTGACTCCCCTCCAGACGTGCAAAGGCCCACTGCCACCCAGGAAGTTCAGAGGCCAGGGCAGCTGAGGGCTCAGGCACAGGGTGGACCCAGAGGGCCCTGAGCCAGTAGCCTCCCCAGAGGAGATGGATATGCCAAGCAGGAGCAACTTCCTGGGCACACAAGGAGGGCTGCCAGCTCCTTCCCAGCTGACCAGGGTGTCGAGTGTTCACTGGGGATTTTGGATGGCATAGCCTTCATTCTCACCTCCACATTGAAAAACAAAGGCCCAGAGAGACCGCTTAGCCTGAGTCACAGCCACCGGTAGCTAAGGTGAGGTCTGAGCCGGGCCAAGCACCAGCAGCCACTTCTACCATCTTGCACTGGGCCAGCAGGAGGGGGTCGTCATCTCAGCCACAGCCACTGCGCCCCTGCCCAGGGGGGACAGGCCACATGGTACACCTGTCCTTTCCGGCTTCCCGGAGGCTCTCTCCAATGCCACCAACAGGTTCCATGCGCTCCCACCTGAGCAAGCCTTGTAGACCAGCCTGGTGGTGGCTCAAGACTGTGACCCCCACAATGACAGGGCCCAGACCCAGGCCTTGCTCCTTGGGCAGCACCTCACTGGGCCCTCACCTCCACTCAGCAGAGCCCTCTGGTCTATCAGGTACCACTGGAAAATCTTCAGGCTCCAGAAGCTCCAAGCAAGAGGGATCCACTTCTGTGAGCTGGAGGGGCACGGGGAGGCCCCCACAGCAGAGCCCCAGGGGTGCAGACCCCCAGAACCCCGTCCAGTCATCACCCACAGTTGTCTCAGGACAGAGGATGCCACAGCAGGCCTGAATCAGCGGCCCGCCCCCCACATAATTCGACTGCGGTCACCTGGCCTGGGACTCTGAGACACTGGTTCTTCAGCCCTGTGGCCCTCTCTTCCTCAGGGATGGTCGGTCAGTTAGAGGAAGCAATGGAGAAGAAAGCCGCCACATGTCCAAACTCTTCAGAAGACAGAAACTTAGAAGTCATGTGTGGTAGAGCGCAGGTGTGAGCACAGCAATTAGAAGGGCTGAGGCAAGGGAACCTGCTTGGCGTTCAAGGCTGACCTGGGATACATAGGAAAACCCACCTCAGAGGGCAAAGTAACAAAAAACAAGACTCGGAACAGCCATTGCTATCTAGGCCTCTGGTTACATCCAGCGCTCGTGGGCAGGAATCCTACTGGTCCACAGCAGGAGGCAGCATGGCCAGTTGAATAAGGTCAGCAGGCCCCCACCTGGCAGAAAAGAGGGCAGTCCTGGACTCAAGCAGCCAGGCCCCACACTGAGCAAATCTCTAACTGCTAGGAAGAGGCTGGCAGCCCCAGACTCCTGGCTACAGAAGGGTGGAAGTAGAGGACTGGACACAGGTGACCGTCCCAGGCACACAGGAGGCCAGCTATTGTCAACAGTAGCTGGTAGCCTAAAGAGCTGAGGCTGGAGTCAGGGACCTGGCTCTAGGAGGGTGAGTGTGGGCTGCACCGTGTGGAGAGCAACAGACACACAGAGAGTTGACAGAGAAGCATCCCCCAGCCAGCAGCCTGAATGTCAGACACACAGAGGCAAACAAGGGGTCCAATACGGATGGCCTTCAAAGAAGACTGTCCCTGATGCTCAGGAATGGGGGCCAGTGCACAGCCAGGGGAGAAGGCTGTGGTTTTCCTAAATGGGGCTGCAGGGGGAGCTCACAGGGTGGCTTCTTCCCCTGAACACCTGGTCACTCCTAACATGAGAAAGCAGGCAGAGGGCAGAAGTGGGTGGAGGGGTACAAATGGGCAGCTGGGGCTCCTGCCTTTGTAGGAAGGTCCACACTGTTTGACTCCTTAACCAGCGTGACCCCCCTTCCCCAGTGTAGGTAGGGCAGAGTCCACAGGTGCCTCCAGCCCATACTAGTCAGTCAGAACCATACCCAATAGCAATACCAGCCCCTCTGACAGGACCTGCCATCCCACCAGCATGGAAGGGTTGACCATCCAAGAGCCCAGGCCCCCTGGGTCTGTCCCATTTTCCTACCCCACTCTCCACCAGGGCAGGGTTTCCAGAATTGTGTCAGCTCAGCTCCTCCTGGCAGCCTTCAAGACCTCTTGAGCATGGATGTGGACATCTGAGGCAAGCTAGGCACTGCTAGAATGGACTGTCTGTGACGGGTTCTAGGACAAAATGAGCACTTGTATCTCAAGACACCAATCCAGAGGAAGACACGGCAGGTGGTAGCACCACTGTCTGGGAAGCTGAGCCAAAATAACTGAAGCCACTGGGGAAGGGGCTGTGTGTGGCGGGCACGACGTGGAGTGACTGGAGACATCTTCGGTGGTGGGAGTGTCTGACCCCAGGAAGGCGTAAGCCTCCATCTGCAGGCTCTTGTACCACAGCAGTGCTCTCAGGAACCACAGCAATGCGGAAACCAAGGTCGACCCTCACCAGGACCATGTGCTGTAGAGAACCTGGGCACATTAGTTTGGCTTCAAGGCAAGCTCAAAAGCAACCGCACCCTGATAACACACCTTCAAAAATAAGCTACCTGGGGGCCGGAGAGACGGCTCAGTGTAGGTTGTTCTTGCGGAAGACTTGGGTTCGAATCCCAGCACACATATGGCAGCTAACAACTGTCTGTAACTCCAGTTCCAGGGGATCTGACAGCCTCTTCTGTCCTCTATGGGTATTGCATGACACGGGTGCACTTACCTACACGCAGGCAATACACGCATGCACATAAAATAAAAAAATAATTGAAAAAAGTTACCTGAACCCAAAGTGCAGTGTCATCTGACACCAGCTGGGGACCATCACAGACCCCTCGCTCACACGACTATTCCACACCATTAAGAGGTTAGCAACCACACAGATTCTCCCACATCTAAGTTCACAGGCTTTCCAGCTAAGAACCTTGAGTCCCAGAGAGACCACAGAAAGGATGAAGGGGCTTAGACAGGAGAAAACAAGCTCGCAGAGAGCCGCAGCCCAGTCTGACTGTGCTGCCTGCTGCAGGGTCCACAGCCAGCCACCCAGAAGGCAATCGGGGCTCAGGTTCCCAAAGATTATAGAAACACCACCAACAAAACCAAACCAAACCAACACAGGAGAGGGTATGCAACTTTACTAACAGCAAACTTCACCGCAGCGAGGCACCATAGGATTCTCTTTCTCACTTAATAAATACAAATGAATAAAAATACTTTGTTTTGTAGGACTGCCTCTCCCTCCCTTCCCTACCTGCCAGGGAAGCCCAGGGGTGACAGTATCCTGTGGCCAGCTCTGTGTGGCCAACTACCCACACAGACCACTTTTCACTCTAAAGGGGGTCGCCTCAGGGGTGCCCACAAATACTTCGGTACAACCCGTCTCCTGCCACACTTCATCAGGAAAATGACGCCCTGGGGTAAAGGAGTGCACGTGGTTTCCCCTGACACCCAACTGGAACCCCAGAGCCGAAACTATCAACACCACGAACCGTGCAGGGCACTGGCCACCGACACAAGGGGAAGAAATGGGGGCCGTTTAGTGAGACCTGCTGCACACCCTCCAGAGGAATAGAAACTCCCATTTAAATGCAAACTGTTTGGGAGAGGCCAAGCTCTGGGCTGCTCAGTAAGATCTGTTATTGCTTGTGGGGTCTGCTCCAGGCATTCCTGCTCCACGTGGTCTGCTATTAAAGATCTTCCACCTGCGGCCTGCCCTGCATCCACTTCCCAGCCTGAGTCCAGTTGAGGATATATACCTCAATTCTGAGCACCTAGTAGCAGATTCCCTTCCAGCCTCAATAGTGAAGGATCTTGAGCCAAAAGCTAAACCTGGTGTGACTAATGGGCACACAGACCGTGGTCTCCCAGCCTTCGAGAAGAGCCTACAGGCCTCAGGTGAGACCAGCATTAAAACTACAACGGTCCCCACCTGCTCTAGTGGCACCAGCAATGCAGACAGGGCACAGATCCCTAAATGCCAGCAGGAAAAGCAGCGGTCTTGGTGACTCAGGTCCCTATTTCTCCCGAGCCCATTTGAAAGCATCTCCTGAAGAATTCTAAGCTGAGGAAAGCCTCAGTTTGCAAAGTACAAAGTGAGAAGAGCAGTTCAGAGCCTCAAGGGGCACATGGGAACTGGGAGGTGTGGACACTGGGCCCACACTGCTTCTGGCAAGGCCTCATGTCTTCAGGAGCATTGGTAGCCCTCCATCCTGAACAGCTGGCTGTAGCCGGTCCTCAGCACTGCAGGAAGGAGCAGAGCCGAGGACCCCACCGTGGCTAGGAGAGGTAGTGAGGACAGCCTGGAGCCCTCCCTGAGGCGCAGCAGGAGTCCCTAAAGCACACAGCTGTTGTTATTCCAGTCATGATCTCAGGGGAGCAGCCTGCCCGGGGTGGAAAGGAAGGAACGATAGCACTGTGGCTCTGCAGGCTGCCTGTGTTGGTGTCAGCATGCTAAGTGCTCAGGACAGCACTGGACTCTCAGAGTACATGATGGGGCGTGGCCTCAGAGCCCCAGAGACTTCTGTACAATCTGCTTGGCAATCTTGTAGAACTGCTCCCGGTCGTCCCGCCACATTTTCGAAGCGTCCACATTCGCTCCACTTTCGTCGTTGGGTTCTGAAAGGAAAAGGAGGTCTATGTATAAAGGGTGAGCAGCTTGGCAAGAGCCTCCATTCCACCTGTGAGCCCCACGGGTCTCTCAAGGGGAAGAGAGCGGGCATCCAACACAAACCAGGGCCTTCCACCTAAGGAAGGGAGGCTGGAGCCTGGGCCAAGGACAGCACCCCTCAAGCCAGCAGCTCCCTCCCCACCAGTAACCAGAGCAGCTTATCTTCCACACCCCAAACTCTTCTGCCTGAATCCTACTCCCGCTGTACCAGACTGAGGTGAGTCTGAGGGCCGGCATCTTCTAGCCCTTTCAGATCCATTCATTCTCTCGGCAGGGAGAGTTCAAGGTTCCTGTTCCAATCCCACAGCCACCAGGTGCCACACAGATGGTCTTTTTAAGACACGACTACCCACCTGGCTCACTTCCAAGACTCACTTCCTTCCCCTGCCTTGGCTCCTGCCTCTGCTCAGCTGATCCGCAACTCCAAATGCCTTTCCTTCCGGTCAACTCCTAAACTCCTAACTCATCCCCAAAGTGACCAAGAGCACAGTGTTGTGTACACCAGGCTTACCATGCTGGCTACTACGTGCTGGTGGATTTGGAAGGTTCCCCCTAAAGGTATGGGGACCTCACAGTTGGGGTACCTATTACAATGAGCATTATGCCCCCAGTACTGTGTGACACACAATGGGACCCCAATGAATCAAAATGCCAAGGTGCATTGTGGTCGGCAACCTGAGGCTGTACTGGAGTACCCTGAAGTGTGTTATCATGGAAAGTGTGCTCATGTTCCGTTATGTGCAGACCAGCGACCTAAGTGAAAGTTGTACTAGGGGCTCACCTGCCAACATGCTCACCACCGACAGCAAGATCTTCTCTACACTCTGCACAGGGCTCCACCGCTCAGCACTGCTCTCGTAGCCCATGGGATCATCGCCTGGTGCGTGAAGGATGGAGATGCAGACTCTCCCGTCGGGGTAGACTGCAAAGGTCAGGGGCAGGCAGGTGAGCCCTGGACAGTATCACTGTGCTAGGGGCGCTCCACAGACACAGCAGGACACTTCCCACTGCCACAGATCCCAGAGGAGGGGATGGACCAGGCCCTATACTCACTGGCTGACAGAGGCTCTGGGCCAGGCCTGTCTATTTCTAACCAGTTGCAACTGGATTCTACCTTCTTGTGGATTTAAGCATTATCTCCAAAAGGAGTGAGATGTGAGTAAATATTCCACCAAAGTGTCCAGTGTGATCAAGACCATTCACAGTGCTCGGCAGAGCAAAGCTCTTAGGTATTCCTCACTTAACCAAAGCAAAGATACTGACGGGCTATACCACACACACGCACAGACACATGGACACACATGGACACATGGACACACACACACACACACACACACACACACAGAAAGGATCTATATCCACCTGGATAGGGCAGACACAAGGCAACCGAACTACTTAAATGCACAGAGACCACAGTCACTTATTCTAGAAGGCTTCCCCATGAGGCAGCATCACCTAGACTCCTGAGACCAGGCCACACATGCTCAGGAGCACCTTGGATGGATGGATATGCATCCAGACCCACATACTCCACCTGGAGAGGATCAGCTGTAAAGTCATACAACCATTAAGATTATAGTGACAGTGACAGTCGCATTTATGAGCTAGAAGCTCAGGAAGACCTACACACTGAGTCATTTACCTCCTAAGGTCTCTCCTGAGTCCTGACCCTTGGCTGAGTCAGTGTTCCCTGCCCAATGGCCACCAGAACTGCACCACCAATTCTCCTTCAAGACAACTGGAGAAGCTCAGGACAGGCCTGGGACATCTGTCTACAGTCCACATACATGCCATCTGGACACTAGTGCTCTCTCAACTGTTCTCCCTGCCAGGAAGCATCCACATCTCCAGCCCTCAAAAAAATTAGTTTCTGGCTTTGTTCTTCCAAGTGCTAGGATTTGGGTATACACCACATCACGTTAAAAACTTTTTACAAAATAGTGGGGCTTGGTGGCACACACCTTTAATCCCAGCACTTGGGAGGCAGAGGCAGGCGGATCTCTATGAGTTCAAGGCCAGCCTGGTCTACATAGTGAGCTTCAGGACAGCTGGGGCTACAGGGAGACCCTGTCTCAAAAAGACCAAAAAAAATTTTGTTACAAAACAAAAACATGGGGTTGGAGGGAAGGCTCAGTGATTCAGGGCACTGCCATGGTGGCTCACAATAGTCTGGACCTCCAGTTCCAGAGAACCCAATGCCCTTGTCTGGCCTCCACAGGCACCAGGCACCCATGCAGTACACATACTATAAGCAGGCAAAGCAACCATACATGTCGGGACTAAGTTTGCTTTGCTTAGCGGGGGACCTACTGGCTTCTGTGCAGAGGACTTGATGGGCAAAAGAAGGTCTTAGACCCTGGGACCTGTGTCTTTCCAACAAGCCAATTTATTTTAAAATTCAGATGGTTTTTATACATCCCAAGGAACTAGCAGTCATGTGGGATATGACAGTCCCATACAAAGATTTAGGGTACAAAGAAACAGGACATTTAGTCTGTTAGTTGGCACCAGAAGGATTCTTAAACTTTTACTCAAGGTTATCAATGCCCATCCAGTAATTTATTGGCCACAGTGTTTTCTTTCTTAGAGCTAAGAGCACGGTGAACTTTTAGCTTTTAGCTCAGGAGTAAACCTTTAACCTGGCCTAATCTCTTAGCCAGGGATAGCTGAGTTATTTGTTCAGGACAAGGAGATGAGCTAAGGGTTGTTCACCAAGACGCTTTCCCACAGAGCAGGCAGTCTGCATTTTTATGACGAGTCCAGTTCCTCCTGCCAGCCCAACAGTGTTCTGCAGGCCAGGGATTATCAGAGCCACTGTTTTCAGTGCCCCTCCCTTTAGCAGAGAATGCAGCCTGGACCTATAAGTTTTAGGCTCACCTCACCCTAGGGCCTGGCATCCTGGTTTCCTACAAAAACACATATAAATAAATCTTTAAAAAAATATATATAAAAGCATCCATTTATACAATAAATCCTATATACTTATCTGAACAATAAATATCAGAGTAGGGTTATAGCTCAGAGGTAGATAGTAAGCATGCACAAAACCCTGGTTCAATCCCCAGTAAAAAACAAAAAAGCCAGGCCAGACTAGTCTTAGTACATATTCCTAGTGACTCACTCTGCTGGCTGTGTCTGTCAGCCCCAAACGCACTGCGACAGTCTCACTGCTGACTTAGTTACCTACAATCCTCTTCCCAGTTCTACTTATAGTTGATCTACTTGGCATTAGTGACCTTTCCAACAGACTCTTTTCTCCATTTTCAAACTCTACCATGAAAACTCCAAACCTGTCCTACTCAGAGAGCAGTGGGATGGACCCACGGGCACTCAGCACCTCACGACAGACAGCTGCAGCTCTGCATGGCACAGACACTAGAATGCAGGAAGGAACACCATCCCTGGGGGAGACGGCTCACCGGGAATTCTGGTGCCAGTTCTGCTATCCAGCAGCAGAGGCCCAAGAGAGATGGCTTCCCAGCCCTCCTGGCAGCGCCCGATGCCAGCACGGCAAAGGGTGAGCCGAGGGGAGTTGTAAAACCAAGATACAAGTCAGAGGTTCTGAAAACCCCAGAAATTCTTTTATGAATAATATAGGGTTTAACTGTTTGTTGTGCTATAAAGTTCAGGATAAGAAATTGGTGCCAAATAAAAAATACTCACTTCTACAGAACAGAATACCCTACTTGAATTTCTGTCCATTGGTATCAAGATCAGAATTATTAGTGGCAATAGAAATTATTTTTAAGAAGAAACATTATTCAAAATGCAGTCATTCAAAGTACAACACATTTTCCCATTTCTGTTTGGTAAGATGGGAATGGTGGGACATGCCTGAGATCCAGTACTTGGGAGATGGACGGTCAGACGTTCAAGGCCAGACTGAGCTAATGAACCCTGTCTCCAGCCCCCATCTTCTCAAGACCCCAAGGTCTCTCATGTACAACCCTTACCTGTGAAAGGAAGAAGTAAAAGGAAACAATCCCAGTTAGGGCAAAGGGAACTACCTACAGCATCTTTAGGTCACCTCGCAGACAGACGTTTACACACAACTGTTTTTCAAAGACGACACTCACAGCCTTACTGATTACAAACCTGCTTCCCAGTCAGCACACACAGCACAAATACTACCCACATCACTAAAACCTGTGCTCATCACCATCCCACCTCTACAAATTCTTTCATATAAACTTCAGCATCTGCAAACCACTCTAACTGCACCATTTACTTAACTCTGCAGTTGAAAGCACAGACTGACTCCAAATTTTCCACCATTAAAATAGCAGGGGCCAGTGTAGCCCACAGAGCACTCAAGGCCGAACATTCTACAGAACCCATAAACACAGGATGGATGGCCAAGTGGCCAGTGTGAGCTTTATACTTTTTCCCTCTGCATTAAGCTAACCTTTAAAATGTAAATCCTGCTGCTCATACCATGAGAGCCATCAGACGTTTGTGACACTGATACATGCACCCATGTGCCTGCAGGACTCCCTGCCTCTTATCATGGATGCAGAAGTGTTATGTTGCTATAACGACCACGTTCCGAGGCACTTACTGTTAGGATGGAACATCTCACAGGTGAATCTCATCTTCGGAGGACTCAGTGGGTAGTCAAGTGGGAAGCTCAGGATGGCAGGAAAAACACCAAACTCAAAGCAGGTGTCCTCAGGGCCCCTGCAAGGCAGCAAACTTGTAGTTTGTGATGCTGACCACAATTCCCAAGTGGGAGAGGGACACTTTCACTGTCTACAAACACAAGACAGATCCAGATAGGCTGCTACTTTTCTGAGAATGGTGAACAGAGAGTGCACTCTGTTCTCCTGTCCGTGTCGGTCAGACCCGAGTGTTCTCCTGTCCGTGTCGGTCAGACCCGAGTGTTCTCCTGTCCGTGTCGGTCAGACCTGAGGGTTCTCCTGTCCCTGTCGGTCAGACCCGAGGGTTCTCCTGTCCGTGTCGGTCAGACCCGAGTGTTCTCCTGTCCGTGTCGGTCAGACCCGAGGGTTCTCCTGTCCGTGTCGGTCAGACCCGAGGGTTCTCCTGTCCGTGTCGGTCAGACCCGAGGGTTCTCCTGTCCGTGTCGGTCAGACCCGAGGGTTCTCCTGTCCGTGTCGGTCAGACCCGAGGGTTCTCCTGTCCGTGTCGGTCAGACCCGAGGGTTCTCCTGTCCGTGTCGGTCAGACCCGAGGGTTCTCCTGTCCGTGTCGGTCAGACCCGAGGGTTCTCCTGTCCGTGTCGGTCAGACCCGAGGGTTCTCCTGTCCGTGTCGGTCAGACCCGAGGGTTCTCCTGTCCGTGTCGGTCAGACCCGAGGGTTCTCCTGTCCGTGTCGGTCAGACCCGAGGGTTCTCCTGTCCGTGTCGGTCAGACCCGAGGGTTCTCCTGTCCGTGTCGGTCAGACCCGAGGGTTCTCCTGTCCGTGTCGGTCAGACCCGAGGGTTCTCCTGTCCGTGTCGGTCAGACCCGAGGGTTCTCCTGTCCGTGTCGGTCAGACCCGAGGGTTCTCCTGTCCGTGTCGGTCAGACCCGAGGGTTCTCCTGTCCGTGTCGGTCAGACCCGAGGGTTCTCCTGTCCGTGTCGGTCAGACCCGAGGGTTCTCCTGTCCGTGTCGGTCAGACCCGAGGGTTCTCCTGTCCGTGTCGGTCAGACCCGAGGGTTCTCCTGTCCGTGTCGGTCAGACCCGAGGGTTCTCCTGTCCGTGTCGGTCAGACCCGAGGGTTCTCCTGTCCGTGTCGGTCAGACCCGAGGGTTCTCCTGTCCGTGTCGGTCAGACCCGAGGGTTCTCCTGTCCGTGTCGGTCAGACCCGAGGGTTCTCCTGTCCGTGTCGGTCAGACCCGAGGGTTCTCCTGTCCGTGTCGGTCAGACCCGAGGGTTCTCCTGTCCGTGTCGGTCAGACCCGAGGGTTCTCCTGTCCGTGTCGGTCAGACCCGAGGGTTCTCCTGTCCGTGTCGGTCAGACCCGAGTGTTCTCCTGTCTGTGTCGGTCAGACCCGAGTGTTCTCCTGTCTGTGTCGGTTAGACCCGAGTGTTCTCCTGTCCCTGTCGGTCAGACCCGAGTGTTCTCCTGTCTGTGTCGGTCAGATCCGAGTGTTCTCCTGTCTGTGTCGGTTAGACCTGAGTGTTCTCCTGTCCGTGTTGGTCAGACCCGAGAGTTATCCTGTCTGTGTCGGTCAGACCTGAGTGTTCTCCTGTCTGTGTCGGTCAGACCCGTGTGTTCTCCTGTCCCTGTGGGTTAGACCCGAGTGTTCTCCTGTCTGTGTCGGTCAGACCTGAGTGTTCTCCTGTCTGTGTCGGTCAGACCCGAGTGTTCTCCTGTCCGTGTCGGTTAGACCTGAGTGTTCTCCTGTCCGTGTTGGTCAGACCCGAGTGTTCTCCTGTCTGTGTCGGTCAGACCTGAGTGTTCTCCTGTCTGTGTCGGTCAGACCCGAGTGTTCTCCTGTCCGTGTCGGTCAGACCCGAGTGTTCTCCTGTCCCTGTCGGTCAGACCCGAGTGTTCTCCTGTCCGTGTCGGTCAGACCCGAGTGTTCTCCTGTCCGTGTCGGTCAGACCCGAGTGTTCTCCTGTCCCTGTGTGTTCTCCTGTCCCTGTCGGTTAGACCCGAGTGTTCTCCTGTCTGTGTCGGTCAGACCGAGTGTTCTCCTGTCCCTGAGTGTTCTCCTGTCCCTGTCGGTCAGACCCGAGTGTTCTCCTGTCCCTGTGGGTTAGACCCGAGTGTTCTCCTGTCCGTGTCGGTCAGACCCGAGTGTTCTCCTGTCCGTGTCGGTCAGACCCGAGTGTTCTCCTGTCTGTGTCGGTCAGCTCTGAGTGTTCGCCTGTCCCTGAGTGTTCTGTCTGTGTCAGTCAGACCCGAGTGTTCTCCTGTCCGTGTCGATTAGACCCGAGGTAAAAAAGCACAAGACCGAGGTGCACCAGCAGCCAGGCAGCAGGGCCTTTGTACATTAATGACGTCTGGGAAAACCTCAGCACACTGCAGGTCTTGGGAGCTGACCTCACCAGGTCCAGTGTCTGACCATCAAGGTGTGGGTCACAGCAGGTGGTAAGCAAGTCTCTGTAGATCCACAAATGGAGGGCTAAGGAGTAGATTTCAAAGGCCTAAGATATGACCTTTACAGCCCAAGCAAACAGGGCACATATGTGTGCTCCAATTCTTGCTCACAGCAGGCCCACCTGTCAGCAACTCCCACCTGCACCCAGCCCTGACTGACACCAACCTCACAACTTAGTTCACCAGCCATCTCCTCAGCCATCACAGAAGTCTTATTCAAGCCTCACAGCCCAGATGCTGACTGAGGCCTGAAGCTGCAGAGGGGAGATGCTGCCAGCAGAGACCAGCCCCTCCCCAAATCCCACAAGGCGGCCCACACCAGCAGGTCAAAAGACCACTGGACACTCTCCACTCCATAAACTTAACAAGGCAGACTTCTGGCTGACAGCTTCCAATACCAGCACAGGGCAGACCCCCTTGAGGGGGCCACTCCACTGGTAAAGGAGGAAAAGGAGGAAGCCAGGCTCACACTCCTGAGCACTGTGAACCAGACCTGCAAGCGGCTCCAAAGCAGGCTCGAGGCACAGACCTGTTATCTCAGGGGTGGGAGGCCGGCCTGGGCAGATAGCAAGACCATTTAAAATGTATGGGGCTGGAGAGATGGCTCAGCAGTTAAGAACACTGGTGGTTTTTGCAGAAGACCCGGGTTTGAATCCCAGCACCCACATGGTAGCTAACAACTGTCCATAACTCCAGTCCCAGGGGATCCGACAGCCTCGTCTGATCTCTTCGGGCATTGCACAACATGGGTGCACTTACCTACATGCAGGCAATACACATAAAATAAAAATAATGAATAAAGGCTGGGCATGGTGGCACACGCCTTTAATCCCAGCAGTCAGGAGGCAGAGGCAGGTGTATCTTTGTGAGTTCGAGGCCAGCCTGGTCTACATAGTGAGTTCCAGGACAGCTGGGGCTACAGGGGGACCCTTTTTAAAAAAAAAAAAAAAAAAAAAAAAAAAAATTTTATAGTTAAAAAAAATAAATAAATGAAAAATAAAACAATGAACAGCTCTGCCTCTCTCTGACAGCAGGTCTAAGACAGAAAGCATGCCCCCACGGGGACAAGGGAATGGACTCCACAGACAGGATCCTTGCTAGACCTTGTGACTCCAAAGAGCATCCAAGATACTGCTTGGAAAAAAATCAGATATTAATTTAAAAACTTGCACTCTGGAAGAGGTTGGTGGATCTCTGTGACTGAAGCCAGCCTCCTCTGCATAGCAAGTTCTAGGCCTGCCAGGATTACATAGTGAGACCCAGTAATGAAAACAAAGAGTAAGGTGTGGTGGCACACGCCTTCAATCCCAGCACTGGGGAAGAAGAGGCAAGCAGACCTCTGTGAAATTGAGGCCAGCCTGGTTCCAAGACAGCTGGGGCTATGGGAGACCCGTCTATTTAAAAAAATAAAAGCCACTACACTTAGGAAAAAAGACTTAAAGTATAAATTAACTTAGCTGGGTGTGGTGGACACCCTGTAATCCTAGCCCTGGGGAGGCTGAGGTAGGATTGCCTCATCTCTAGAGCAACCTGGTCGACACAAGGAGCTCCTGGCTCAAAACAGTAAACGGGAAATAGCTCCAGACATAAAGCAGTTGCTGTTCAAGCATGAGGACCCAAGTTCAATCCCCAGAACACATGTAAAGGGCAAGTGGCAGCTTGTAATCCAAGCACTAAGGCAGCAGGAACAAAGGGGTCCCCGAGGCTCACAGGCCACATCAATGAGTCCCAGGCCAGTAGGAGACCCTGCCTCAATAAACAAGGTGGACAGCTAACCTGAGGACCACCACCTGAGGTTGGCCTCCAGTCTCCACGCACACACACATACATACATACATAAAAGCAAATAAATCAAACATTGCCACAAAACCCAGCAGTGCAAAGCTGTTTAAACTCTTGATAAAATTATTCTGGTTCAGTGGTATAAACATAGATCTGGAAGCTATCAGAAGTAATCTTTACCCCACAATTCAGAGAGCAGGAGAAAGGGAAGCTTTCATTTTTATCCGGCAGTCACACCCGGGGCGTCCTAAGAACAATACAGTGTTTTGTTAAGTCAATTTTTTTTTCTAAGTGACAAATCTTGACTCTGGAAAGTGATCCTGTGCTGCTTGAGAAAACAACAGTAAAGGCTCCTCTGCCTGGAAGGGTGGCATGTCTGCTCGACGGCCGCCTGGGGTCTTGGCACCAGACCAGAGCAGCACAACAGCAGCCATCGCAGGGCGTGGCGGCACTTGGCTGAGTTAGTCTCTCATACTGCAGGGGCTCCGGCAGACCCCAATCTCTCCCTCCTCACACAGGCCATCTGTGTCCAGCACAGGGTGACCTTCATATGTCTGCACTCCCACATCCTGAGGAAAGGGGGTCAAGGGCTGCTGTTAGCACAGCTGGGAGATCCTCAATTTAGTTCTTCAAACTGAAATCAGAGTGTTGGGCAGACAGACGCCATTCCAGAAGCACCCCTGCTAGGGTCAGGAATGCTTGCCAGGGTCTCACTGCTGCTGGCACCTCCGAGTCTAGAGTGAGGAGGAGCATCTGGGTGGGGTCCTGGAATGAGCCCCATGGCATCTGCTCAACGCTCCATACCAGCCTTTGTTTTTCATAATGGGGCTTTCTTTAAAATCGCAGCCTCA